ACTTATATCTTACCAATAGATTCGGATCTGTTAGCACTGAAGGGTAACAATAAGCCACCGCTTTTGTATCACTTAAGCATTTCCAAATTGCAGGTTGTTTAGGAGCAGTGGTAATGTTATTTGGATCGAGAAAAAGTTATTCGTATGTAAACAAGCAAAAAAGTTTGAACTAATTTGAGACTATCTTATTGTTTTTTTCCTAAAGCTTGAGACTAAACAGTACAGCTATGTTTTTCGTTTCCTCTCCGCTCGTCGTTTATCGTTCTCCTGCGAGGAAAAGCTTGCCTGAAAATTTCTTTACCTTCAGCGCCTAGTTTAGGCTGACTACTAAACTAGTATTTTAAAAATAATGGTCTTAAAGCAATTGGTTGAACTCGCTTTTTTGTAGCGTTATTTAAGGATCTGCTTATCTTTGTATTCCAACTACTGCTTTCGCTACGTTTTACATCATTATACTACTTCTAGGTTCAAGAAAGATAGACTTTTACAGGGAACACTAAATTTGTCCAATTTGGGGAAATATTGCTGAAATAATAAACTCTTAAATCATACACCACAGAGAAAATGATCTGTGAGTTTCTTGCATATTAATAACCTTTAATTTGACAGAAGAACCTAGTTGTTTAGGTATACTCTTGTGTTTTTTCTTTTCTTTTTAGTGCTAGACTAGATTTTACCGTTTACCATAATTTAAAAAGAAAGACTAGAAAGTTGGTTGGAGAACGTCTGAGATTACGTATAGAATGACCCTTTCTTAAATAAAGTGGAAAAAAGGAAAAAACAATAACAATGTATTCTCACCTTTCCCTAATATTCACTAAAACGTCACAATAGATATTTTTGACAATAAAAACAGTATTTTTAATAAAAAAATTTTTTTTCGTAATTTAAATACTTTATCAGAATTAGGAGTTTAATAATACCGCTACTTTTGCGTTCGCTTGTGTTCTCCTGTATTCTCCAGACGATTATCGGCAAACCAAAAACCGAAAAAAAAGTTAATCGTACGGTCAAAACAATTTTTTTAGATGCCTCCAAACAATAGATTAAATCTGTTATTAGACGTAATGATAATTGGTAAAACCTCTGTAAATTGCTTTTTATGTGCACCTAATCCAGCGATTTAGGTTATTTATTTTTTTGAAATCTTTGAAGACTAGTGAAAACTATGTTTTGTCCAAGTTAAACGACTTGTCACTTTCTAGTGTTCTATTCGTTGAAGGTTTTGCAGTGTTTGCAGAAAATGAATATTTATTATTCAGCTGCTGACTTTAAAAACTATTCTGTTTAAAAACAGTAAAATTCAGCTAACTTCTCTGTTTAAGCAATCATCAACAGCTTTCAGCTTGACCGTTTCAGATTCCTCGGGGTTTCTCATCACGGTAGTTCACAAACAAATTTTTGATCGATCATAGTTTGTAAAACTTGAGCGGATTTATTGTTTAGATACTCTACTATATTGATATAGCAAAATCTTCTACATTTTTGACCTTCTCTGAAAGATCTACCAGAATTCTGTTAGGTCTTTTAAACTGTTTAACAGCTTATCTTAGTTATCTCTGTAATGTTACTACAGTTGATGCTACTTTTCTACTTCTGTAATGTACTTGCTTTGACAAAGAAAGTTTTAAAAAACAATCTTGTCTAGAAGTTTGAATAATATTTGCTGAACAAGTTCCAGTCTTTTTTCTACCTAAATTAGTGCAAGTCAATTGCGGTAGGTTCATGGAGATTACAAACTTATGTTGATTTGGTATTCTTTTTTACCTGTTTAATATTCTGAGGTAGTTGAAAATCCAGCTGAGAAATATGCACAGCTTGTCTTTAAAGTCGGTGTAATCACTAAGACTTTGTTGTGTTTAGTTATCCCACTGTCCTTAGTCATAGCATAAAGCAGTTGCTACTCTTGTTTAGATATAAGGTAGCCTTCTTCTCCTACAAAGATGTATAATAAATATCTTTGAGGCTGTTATTATTATTATTGCTTAATATCCTACCTTGGTATGTTTTTGCGGTATTAGACTGGATTTTAAAAATAAGTTGATTAAAAAAGGATAGAAGAAAAAAATTAAAGCGGAAAAAAATGAAAGTCAACATAAATAAGATAAATGTCGTGAAGCATACCAAAATGTCAGAACAGTGATGGAAATATAAAATTTGAAGCAAATATGACCTAAAAGTTTTAAGTGCTATTCGCATTCGAAATCTTTCAATAAAAAAAAATAAAAACGGACAGTAGTTTTATTCCCCTAGTTTGTCCATTCAGATACAAGAACGTATCGATAAATCACTCCTTGAATTTGAAAATTTCTCTTAACTTTATTCTTGCATAAGTTTCGATTTTGCAACAAAGTTTAGCCACACCAATTAAAACAGCAAGAAAAAAAATTTGGAAATAATTTTTTAAGTTTTTTATAAAATAAATCATTTACTTAGTTTAATACTCAACTGTAAATTTAGAAAAATGCTAATTTACATTAAACTCTACTTGTCGAGTTCTCTACGGGGTTTGAACACTGGAAAGTGTATGACTACAGAATCTGGTGCTGTTTTTCAAATTTTTTACCAAAAAATGTTGCCCTTGTAGCTATTTGAAGAAAGTCTATTTTTGGCCTAATAAATTGTAATCTTTTGAATACATAATTTTTAGTTTCATGTGCCAAAAACTTTTTCAACGTATCCTTATCGTGTTACTTATTATCATAAAACGAGCACTGCAACAAATAACACCAGTTGGATGTATATGCAACTGTCCCGTTGGAATGCAGTCGCCTCCTTACGCGGACGAAGAGTTACAGTTCCCAGGTTAAAGACATTATTTAAAGTGAACAGCTGAAAACAGATATTTTTTATTACCAAAATGTTTCTGCTGTTCGTTCATTATTTTTGCTTCAAATCTGCACACAGCTTATCAAATATAACTTTTTGGTGCCAATTACGC